GACATTTTTAAGTTTCACGGATATTTAACAAAAAACTTTTTGTTTTTGTATAAAATATTTGTTGGAAAGAGCAGACCTGATTGCAAATATAATTTGCATGTCAAATTAGAGAAAGCAGAAACTTCACCCAAAGAGACCAATAAGGACTTACACTAAGGTTGTGATAGTATTAAGAAGGAAAAATGAAGAGACCTCATGAAGTAACAATCTACAGGGTCTCCTGATTAATGAGGTGAGTGAGTAGGAAAGGAAGGAAACAAGCATTTATTGGGGCACCTAGGTGGCACAGTGGATAGAGCACTGGCCCTGGATTCAGGAGGACCTGAGCTCAAATCCGGCCTCAGACACACAATACTTACTAGCTGTGTGACCCTGGGCAAGTCACTTAACCCCCTTGCCCAGCCAAAAAAAAAACAAGCATTTATTAAGCACCTACTCCATGACAGGCACTGTGTTAAGCCCTTTATAAGTATTATGTCATTTAACACTTACAACAACCCTAGGAGGTACATGTTATTAATAGCCCCATTTAAAATTTGAGGAATTTGAAGCAGACAGAGATTAAGTGCCTTGCCCAGGATGACATAACTAGCAAGTGCCTGGGGCTGGATTTGAACTCAGGTCTTCCTGACTCCAGGTTCAAGGCTCTATCTACTATACCACCTAGCTGCCTAGAGATGTAAGGAATAATAATAATATAACATTTAGCACCTTAAGGAGTGCTTGAGATGGGGCAGAGCCAAGATGGCAGAGAAAAGGTAAGGACTCACTTGAGCTCTCCCAAATTCCCCTCCAAACAACATTAAACAATGCCTCAAAACAAATTCTGGAGCTAACAAACCCACAAAAGGACAGGGTAAAACAATATTCCAGCCCAAGACAACTTAGACGGTCAGTAGTAAAGGTGTCACACTGGGGTGAGATTGGAGTACAGTCCAGCTCAGGCCACACCAGTGAAAGGCAGGCCCCAGAAAACTGGCAGCAGGCTTTGGGAACAATTGAATCAGTGGTAGCAGTGGCAGTTTCTTGACCTCTCAGCCCATAGATGGTAAGGGAGTTGAACAACTGGTCAGAAGGAGATTATTGGGGTCCCTTTGCTGGCACCAGGGGCAAGATTGTGTTGCACTGCCCATACTTGGAACCAGGTCACAATCCTAGGTCGCAATCCCAGAATAAGGAGAAGCACCAGCACACCAGAGCTTGTGGCAGCAGAAAAGTTGGGACCCTGGCCACAGTTCCATGGCTGAAGAGTGATTATGATCACTCACAGACCACAGCATACTTCAAAAGAAGACTATACACACTTCTCCTTAGATCATAACATCTTTGAAGAACCAAAAACTTATAGGTCTCCAGAATTAGGTCTGAAAACAGATGCACAAAAAACTTAAAGCTTAGGACAGTACTCCCATCCACCTTGGAAGCAGAGCCCCACTTTACCATAGAGTAAAAAGTCAAGAAATAGGTTAGAAAATGAGCAAACAACAAAAAAAGATCCTGACCATAGAAAGTTACTATGGTGATAGAGAAGATCAAAACATAAACTCAGAAGAAGTCAACAAAGTCAAAACTGCTATTTCCAAAGCATCAAAGAAAAATGTGACTAGGTCTAGGCCCAAAAAGAATTCCTAAAAGAGCTCAAAAAAGGATTTTAAAAATCAAATAAGAGAGGTAGAGGAAAAATTGGGGAAAGAAACAACAGTGACGAAAAAAATCATGAAAAAAGAGTTGACAACTTGTTAAAAGAGGCACAAAAATAATCTAAAGAAAAAATTCCTTAAAAAATAGAACAGAACAAATAGTAAAAGAAGCACAAAAATCCAATGAAGAGAAGAAAGCCTTAAAAAGAAGAACTGGACAAATGGAAAAAGATATACAAAAATTCACTGAAGAAGAGAACTCCATAAAAAGTAGAATTGAACAAATGGAAAGGGAAATATAAAAACTAAAGAAAAAAATATTTCCTTAAAAATTAGAATTGGGTGATTAGAAGCTAATGACTCCAGAAGACATCAATAAATAACAAACCAAAGTCAAAAGTATGAAAAAATGAGAAAATATGAAATATCTTATTAGAAAAAACTGATCTGGAAAATTGATCCAGGAGAGATAATTTAAGAATTATTTGACTACTTGTAAGCTATGGTCAAAAACAGAACATATACATCACCTTTCAAGAAACTATCAAGGAAAATTGCCCTGGTATTCTAGAACCAGAGGGTAAAATAAGAATTCAATCACCTCCTGAAAGAAATTCCAAAATGAAAATTCTCAGCAATATTAGAGGCAAATTCCAGAGCTCTCAGATCAAGAAGAAAATATTGCAAAAAGCCAGAAAGAAACAATTTGAATATCATGGAGTCTCAGTCAGGACAACACAAGATTTAGCAGCTTCTACATTAAAGGATCAAAGGGCTCGGAATATGATTTTCCACAGGACAAAAGAGCTAAGATTACAACCAAGAATAACCTACCCAGCAAAACTGAGTATAATCCTTCAGGGAAAAATAATTGATATTTAATGAAATAGAGGACTTTCAAGCATTCCAGATGAAAAGATCAGAGTTGAATAGAAAATTTGGCTTTCAAACATAAGACTCAAGAGAAGCATAAAAAGGTAAACAAGATAGAGAAATCATAAAGCATTCAATAAGGTTAAACTGTTTACATTCCTACATGGGAAGATGATATTTGTAAGTCCTAAAAATTTTCTCATTATTAGGACAGTTAGAAGGAGAATGCATAGATGGAGGACATAGATATGAGTTGAATATGATGGGATGATTAACTCACTTTTGAGGATGGACAGGGTGAAAGGAGAGAAAGTGTAGGATAAGCAAGAGAAAAAAATAGGATGGAGAGAAATACACAGTAATAGTAACTGTGAAAAATATTTACAGCAGTTTACTTGATAAAGGCCTCATTTTTCAAAATATAGGGAACTTAGTCAAATTTATAAATGGATATGAACAGGCAGTTTCCAGACAAAGTAATCAAAGCTATCTACAATCATATGAAAAAAAAATGTTCTAAATCACTATTGATTAGAGAAATGCAAATTAAAACAACTCTCAGGTACCACCCCACACCTTTCAGATTGTCGAATACAACAGATAAGGAAAATGACAAATGTTGAAGGGGATGTGGGAAAAAATTGAGACACTAATACACTATTAGTAGAGTTCTATACTGATTCAACCATTCTGCAGAACAATTTAGAACTATATCCAAAGAGCTATAAAACTATGCATACCCTTTGACCAAGCAATACCACTACTAGTTACGTATCCCAAAGAGATAAAAAAACAAGAAGAAAAATGACCTATATGTACAAAAATATTTATAGCAGCTCTTTTAGTGGTGGCAAAGAATTGTAAATTGAGGGAATCGCCATCAATTGGGGAATGGCTGAACAAATTATGATATGTGATTGTGATGGAATACTGTTGTGCTATAAGAAATGACAAGCAGGATGCTCTCAGAAAAACCTGGAAAGACTTAAACAGATGCAAAGTGAAATGAAAAGAACCAGAACACTATACATACTAACAGCAATTCTATATGATGATCAACTGTGAATGACTTAACTATTCTCAACAATACAAAGATCCAAGATATTTATAAAGGACTTATGAAAAAAAAATGCTATCCATTTCCAGAAAAAGAATTGGTGGAGTCTGAATGCAGATCAAAGAATATTTTTTTTACTTTATTTTTCTTGGGCCTTTTTTTTGGTCTGTATTTTATTTCACAACATAACTAACATAGGAATATGTTTTATATGACTGTATATAGATAACCTATATCAAATTGCTTGTCTTTTCAATGAAAGAAGGTGGGAAAGAATTTGAACTCAAAAAAAAAATTTTAAGAATATTTAAAATTGTTTTATATGTAATTCAGGGGTAAATACAATATTAAATAATTTTTAAAAACAAAATACAAAGCTAAATTTAAAAAAAAAGAACTGGTTGAAAGGAAGGGGCAAAACACAAAGATTACTCTAAGACTTTGATGTGGAAGAGTATTTACACTAGAATATAAGCTCAAGGGGAAGTATAGCATAGTAGAAAAAAGCTGTCCTCAGAATCAGGAAGACTTGGGTTCAAGTCCAGCCTCTGACAAATACTGGCTATATGACTGCAAACAAGTAACTTAATTTCTCAGTGCCCTGATTGACTTTCTAAAACTATATTGAGCAGGTTCCAATCTGCATTGGTAGAGAGAGTTCCTCTCTGAGCTTCCTGCAGAGAAACAAAATGTAAGTTCCTTAAGATCAAGGACCAATTTGTTTATCTCTTGGCACCCATCATGCATAGATATGCTCATACATGTAAGAATGTATATATGTATTTGTGTATATATATGTACATACATACACACACACACACACATACACACATTACTCACCATAAAATGATTGGAGATGCCAAGAAAGGGGCCCTACAATGCATTCCAAAGCTTTAGAGCAAGACAGGCATATACCACCCAATAGCTGCCAAGAAAAGGCCTTCTATCTCTGGCAAAATGTGAATTGTCAGAGGAATAAGGAAAAAAGCTAAAAGTACAGAAATTGGGCATATGGAGAGAATATAAAGGACGATCTGACTAAAGCAAAAGGATTATAAAGAAGGGTAACAAAATGAACTCTGAGAAGGAAGTGAATAGACAATTAAAAGAACAGCTTAAATGTTACACTAGGGAATTTAAATTAGATACCAAGGACAATAGGTTTCTTGAGCAAGGAAGTGATATGATGAAAATGATGTTTAAAAAGACCATTCTGGAATTTACATGTAAGCTCCTGCTATTCTAGGAGACTGTAGCAGTAGTCCAATGATGAAGTGATGAGGCCCTGAGTGAAAGAAGTAGACATTCAAAGAAACTAACCTTATTTTTATTTTATGACTATCTGTTTCACGTGGCTTGAATCCTGAAAATCCTCAGGAATCCTGCATCAATAGACATTAATATTGTTAGCAAACACAAAGAAAACTTACCATATTTGTCTCGTAAGCCAACAGTACATCTGAAGACTCCTCCAAAAGCAACATCTTCACCAAAAATTACTGAAAAAGAAGATAATCTTTAAGGAATATAGCTTACTAAAAAATTCATAATATACTAACATCACAATATAAAACTATGCACTCTTACTTGACTAAATCACATTCATAGTTAAGACTCACCAAAGGAGTCAAACTGGAAGAGAACTTTTGAGTTCATTTAGTCTAACCCCTTATATTTATAGGTGAGGAAACTGAGGCCCAGATAAGATGGTAACCAAGGTCATATAGATAACTTAGTAGTAAAGCCAGAACTTGAAATCAGGACTCCTAATTCCTTTTTTCATCAAGTCTTATTGCCTCAATCAAGTGAGATAATATTTGTAAAGCACTCATTACAATACATGGCATATGGTAGGCGCTTAATAAATACTTATTTCCTTCCCTTCCTTCAAAAGGGTCTCACACAACTCCTTCAAATAGCTACAGGTATTTACAAATTTCCCCATAATTGTTTCAATACTAAATTTATAAAATACTAACATGAAATAGAGCAGTAGTGAGGTTTAGTGGTGGGAAGAACTTGGTTCAAACCCTGCCTCTGAAAGACACTGATCTGTGAACCCAAGCAAGTCACAGTATTGCAGAATAGATGCTCATCTGCACTGGTACAGGAAGCTCTCTATACCAGGGATTCTTAACTCAGGATTCATGAATTTGATATTTTTAAAATATTTTCATAACTGTATTTCTCTATAATTTGTTTCCTTTATGATCCTATGTATTTTTTTTTTACCTATAAACCATGATTCTGAGAAGAGGTCCATAGGTTTCACCAGATTGCCAGAGGGGTCTGTGACACCAAAAAAAAAAGGTGAAGAACTCCTGCTCTACACAAATGAAATAGTAGGCCCAGGAGAAAAAAAAAACAATAACGTCAAAGATTTTATACTGTTGTAAGTATTTTTATTTTGTGTTTGTCTTTCCCAAAAAATAGGTAAAAAAGTAAAGGGTCATCTTAAGACTATAACAGTAACAACCTTTTCCCTTGCAGGCCATGAAGGACAGATTTCCTTAAAATGCTAGTCAGAACCCCAAATACCCAAGAAAGATAGTGTGGAACTAAGGAAATTTTTATGTTTGACAATGTACTCCTAGGTTCTAGGATACATCTCTATGGAGATAGATAGGAAAGTAATAAATATTTCATGGTTGTTAATGTTTTCAATGTGTGTTTTTTACTTGGCAAGGTATAGGGGTAGAGAGATGAGGGAGGAGATAGGGAGTGAAGAAATTTTGCCTAAATTCAGAACTTCAGGGCTTTAAGTCCCAACAGAGAAACCACTACCCAGCTCCCCCGCCCTATAATAATTTGGATTCTTCATATGTTGTTATTACCAGTCAGCATTAATATTGAGTTGTATGTTTAGTAGTGTTGATGAATTTTCCCGTCCTCATATTGACCAATAACACCTACTTCTGAGTTCATGTGCCAAAAACATATGGCTGAGTTTTAGAGGTTTCAAATCCTTGATCTTGATATTAGAACACCATATTCTACCAAAATGAACTAACATTTAAATACTAGATTTGAAAAACGGATTTGGATCATGCCAGTAATTAATGACAATGACAATTATGCTATGCTAGAAAGAAAGCCTGAGAGTCAAGAGTCTGCTCCAGCTCTGGCTTTGCTGCTGATGTTTGCCTATTTGGAAATTTCCTCATATGGAAAGGAAAGGGATTGGGCTAGAGGATTTCTAAACACTCATCTAGCTATAAAATTCCCTGATAATAATTGAAAATAAATACAGGTATAAATAGGGAAAAGTTGATGAACAAAGCCAATGCAAAGTCTTCCAAATAGGTACAACAACCGAAACACAAAGCTAAAAATCAGTTCTGTGTATAGTTCTAAATCAAATACATGCACCTTGTTTGATATGTTATGAAGAAAATCAAAGTATATAAGCCAATTCACTATTCAGTTAAAATCAAGATTCCAATTATGTGTAAAGTAGGCATATTTAATTTAAACTTTACTTTCCAAATGTAGAGAAAAATAAATATTTCATTTCTTTGGTAAAACTTGAAACATAAAAGCATTACATCTTTTCTACTTTGAATTGACCTTTTGACTAGATGCTATGGACTTTTTCTTAATCCTCATCCTTCTGGACTTTACAGCCTTTGACAATGTCTGTCACCCTCTTTTCCTTTATATTCTTCTCTTTTGGTTTTCACAATACTGCTCTCCCCTGGTTCTCCTCCTACCTGTCAGAATGTTCCTTCTCAGCCTTTACACACTGATAATTGTGGATGTCCCCTAAGCCTTTGTTCTGGGTCCTCTTCTTTTCTCCCACTATGTGATTTCTCTTAGTGATCTCATCAGTTCCCATGGATTTAATTATCTCAATTCAGATTATTCTCAGATCTTCTTATCCAGCCCTAACCTTTCTTTTCACTTCATCTCTTATCTCCCCCTATCCAGTGAACATCTCAAACTAGATGTCCCATAGACACTTTAACTCAACATATCAAAAATGGAATTCATTATCTTTCCCTCAAACTCTCCTCTTTTCTATATTTCCCTCATCTCTACCCACTTTAGTCTATTCTCTACTCTGTTGTCAAAATAATATTCTTAAAGTGTAGATCTCACCACGTCACCAAATATACAATAAACTCTAGTGACTTCCAATTGCCTCCAGAATCAAATATAAAATTCTCTGTTTGACTTTTAAAGCCCTTCATAACCTGCCTTCTTCCTCTTTCATCTTACTCCCCTTACATTATGATCCAGTAACACTGGACTCCTCGATATTCCTCATACAAGGTCCTCCATCTCCTGACTCCAGGCATTTTCACTGACTGTCCCCCATGCATTGAATATTCTCCCTTCTAGTCTCCACTTCCTGGCTTCCTTCAAGTCTCAACTAAAATTCCACCTTCTGCAAATAAGCCTTTCCCAGTCCTCCTTAATGCTAGTTTCTTCTTCCCTCTGAGATGATCTCCACATTACCTTGCATATATCTTGTTTGTATATAGTAGTCTCCCTGATTAGGTTGTGAGCAACTTGAGGAGAGAGATTTTTTTTTTGCCTTTCTTTGTATACCTAATCCTTAGTACAATGCCTAACATATAGTAGGCACTTAATAAATGCTTCCTGACTTTACCAATAAGTGATAGACTAGTCGTAGCTGCTTTAGTGGAGAAAGTGCCTACAATAGGAGTTTCCCACACAAATAAATCAAGTTTCTTCAAGTAGTCATATGTCAAGCTATACAATTTTAAGGTTTAGCCAGATCACAGAACTATTCTTCAGAGTTTTGATTATACAGACACAAAAATGGAACATTAATTCACCGTGCCTTTCCTCTTTTCACATAAAAGCTATTGGGCACTATTATTATTAAATAGCTGAGATCTATATGCCACCTCAAAGTTTGCAAAGTTTACATATATTCTTTCATTTAAGCCCCACAACAATCCTGTAAGGTAGTCACTATAGCTATTTTTATCTCCATTTTAGAGATGAGGAAAGGGAGGCTTAGAAAAAAATCATAGGATGACATATTTAGAACTAGAAATTCTTCTTCCTCCTCCTTCTCCTAACCCTCCCCCTTTCTCTTCTTCCTTCCCCCTTCTCCTAGTCTCCTTCTGTCCAAGTTGGGAATCATACCTTTGCATATGGGTTCTCTGTCAAAAGGAATATAAATTTTGATCACTTATACCCTGCAAGGGTTTGGAAGCTAGATTTTTCTTCCCTACTTAATTATTCTATCATTTTTCCCCAAAAAACTGGGACACTTAACTTTTGTCTCACGTAGCTTTCATTTATGATTTCTTGAAATATAGCTCTAAAGAAATAGGCTCTGATAAAGCCTATTCGGATTCAAATGGAGCTACTTGACTATGCCTTTAGACCCAAATCACTCTGGCTTCCACTCTTTGGCCAATAATATCCCCTGCCCAAGCCTCACTTGTTGGTTTTGATGGCTTAGAGTGAGTGTACATAGCAACTGTTTCTGTTCTGGCCAGAAACTCTGAGGGTCTTCCCCTCCCAGATTGATTATTTTGTGAAGGCAAACTCAGCCATCTTTTACCTCTATTCTAACCTATCCTTTAACTACTGAATAGATGTTGCCTCAGACAAACCGAGACTTGGGAAAGACCTTAGCTTAAATGGGCCAAGGTCTCTTACTGCTTCCTCTGGGGCCATCTCCAGTTGTCCTGACCTATGTTCTGCCAGTGCACTACAATAACTATGGAGGAGAGAGTGAGGCAGATGACTTTGCACAGCTCTGCCTCACTTAAATCTAATTCTCTTGTAAATCAAGAAATCCCCCTCCTGATGTCATTGGTTCTCTTTGAGAACAACAACAACAACAAAAGTCCAACTCCCTCATTTTAAAGATAAGGAAATGAGATGCTAAGTTACTTGCCCACACAACCAGAAACTATCAGAGGCAGGATTTAAAATGATCTTGAAAAATGTCATCATTTCTTCATGGCATTATTTGGGCTCAGGTTTCCTGCCTAAAAAACACATTTCTTTTCAATATTCTCGTTAGAAATGATTTATTAAGCACTTATTAAGTACAAATCACTGTGCTAGACACTGAAGAAGATAAAAAGATAATTGCCACAGTTCCTTCCTTCATGGAATTTACAATCTAGCCTGATCAGGCAGCAAAGGGTAGTGTAGTTTGTTGTTTTTGTCCCCCAAAAACCAAGTCAATGTAGTATTGATACTAATTTAGAACTTTCTCAGATTTTGTTTTGAGGTTTTTTTTTTAAAAGAAGGAAGAGCTGCCCAATAATAAGAAATTTCCTATCCTCTCAAAAAATTATTTTTATGGCACCTTTTAATAGAAAAGTATGACTATTTTAAATGGCAAGCCATTCTTTAGTGGGTTCACAAAAGAAAATAGACAATATTTACAGAGACAAAGCTAAAGTAAAAATGTATTTAGTCTCTAATTATAAAAATGCTGGACATATTGAAGTATAAACAACATAACTGTGATGTGATGACAGCAAAGTATGTCTTCTGGAATTAGAGTAAAGAGAGACTTGTGTTCAAATTATACATACCAATCTTATGAACTTGGGTGAATAACAGAAACCTCTTGGAGTCTCAGTTTCCTCATCTATAAAATGGGGGTAATAATAGTTACCAAATTTTCTCTATAGGGTTGTTGTGAAATACTTTCTAATGCAAAAGCATTAGGTAAAATTGAAGTATTATTATTACTGATGGAAGATAAGTGTTAGTTATTAATTATTCCTACTTCTACCACTAACTAGCTGCATAACCTTGCGCTAGTCATTTCATCTTTCTGGGCTTCAACTGCCTTATCTGCCAAATGAAAGAGTTAGCAATGTTCATCTCCAGGAACCTTTCTAGCTCTAAGATTCTGAGAACTGTATTTTTAGCCTATATTTCTATTATAAACCTATAAAGAAGAGAGTTCTAGAAAACCATTAAACTAGAGTAGCAGAGTCCCAGAGGACATTATCAAAAGAGAAGCAGGGAATTAAGTAGAACTTGTTACCCTAGGCCATTGTTTTACTGAGCACAGGATTTAATTCTATCCCCTTCTTGGCTCTGCCATTACCAAAAAGCTGGGATCAGACCACAAAGAAAAATTTAAGTTCCAGCAGGAGATCACACAAGCTATGAAAAGAAACTAAATTGTAGTCTGCCAGGAACTTGCACAGAGGATAGATATGGGAATTCAGAGTAAACCAACAGAGGCTATCAAAACATCTGTCCTCTAAAGGGGAATGTGGCAGAGATGCCAACTGAAGCAATACATGGAGAAGCCAGATTTAACCTCAAGGGGAGAACCAACCATAGAAATTGGCTAATGCCTACTTCTGGCAAACCAACTAGAAGAAAAAAAAATGGGTCAAGAGTGTCAAGATTTGCAAGGAGCCAGAACCATCAAAACCTCAGGAGAATGAAGAAAGCAAACACAAAATGAGTCCTGAAGCCCAAGAGAGGAATCTTTGCAGGGTCCAGTTAAAAAGTGCTTTCCATAAGCCAAATTCTAAGAAGCAAATTCTAAAAGAAAGCACAAATCCGGGTGAACCTAGCAATTGTATTTGCCACAGTTAGAAAACTCAGCATTGACACAGCATCCAACCTAGACAAAACTGGAGGGTTCTAGGGGAAAAAACTGGAGAAAGGGGGTCTTTCGGGATATCTAGGAAATGTAGCTAAGTAAAATAAATGCCTACTTCTTCCTTAGACCAGAAGTAGCTCTTACGACTAATATAACTTTATAATTTTTTCCTTTTCTTATGAAGTCTTAAGCATTTCCCTGTAATGATTCCCATGTTTTTATTTTTAAATACCTTTAAAAAATTGAAAGAAGGATATGCAGTTTTCAAAGACAGCAGGGTAGGGTCCAATAGTAGAAGGAAGCCTATATCCCCTCCTGCAGAATAGCAGAAAACTGTCAGAAAGAGGAGTCTAACAGCAAAAAGACACACAATAGAGGAAGTTGGTAAGACAAGCGCTGAAGGGACAAGCAGTGGGAGAAAACTGAGAGCACCATTTACCACAAGCTTGTAGTATTCCAATTAGTCACCAGACTTAGCTCTTAATTATATTAAGCCTATCAAAACTTAGAAATTCTCAATCTCTGAGCATTAATTCACCTGATATTTAGGATGCCCAAAAGACTATTACTTGACCTTTAGGCAAGTGCTCAAATGCAAAAAGTCCTTTGAGATTTTATTAGAGCTACTTTGCTAACATCAAACAATTTGTAATATGTGACTTTTGGACTACTAACATTACATATTGAAAGAAAGAAAAATTAGCCAGTCAAGAAGTAAAATACTGAATTGTTCAGATCAGATTAGATAGATCAATTTCAAACAGCAGTCAATGCCTAACATTCAAAGTAAACTAAGAAATATGTCAAAGAAAGGAAATATTTCCAGAAACTATTATGTAAATAAGTATTGTATTTCTAGGTACCTATTGGAATTTTAATCATGCCATTTTAGCTTTGACAGCTACCTGCTAATAAATGGGAATACTTTATAAGTAATCTCAGGTGCAATTTACCTAGCCTCTTAGAGTTCTTTCAACTTTGAATATCAGCAATATTCTACTGATACTTTGTTTAAAATATTTTTGAAGAGATACTTTTAAAATGCCTCTCAGGACTTATTCAGTCAATTTATAACTAATTAAATTCAGAATTTTTATTCCAACTAAATATCTAAGATAATATAAAGCCAATTGAATTCACTTCCTACAATATGCTGACTTCCAAATAACACAAAGAAGTCACAGATAGGTTCATACTCATAGATCATTAGAGTTATGGGTATCTAAAAAGTCATTTAGTCGAAGCTCTTTCCCAATACAGATTAAGAAAGGAGTCCCAGAGAAGTGGAGTGCCTTGCCTCAAGTCATCTGGTAAAACAGGCAAAACTAGAATCCTTCCCTCTCCCCCACCTCAAGTCCATTATTTTTTTTTCTTCTTTTTTTTTTTGAGGCTGTTGGGGATTAAGTGACTTGCCCAGAGTCACATAACCAGTAAGCACTGAAGATTGGATTTGACCTCAGATCCACCTCACTCCAGTGTTCTATCCACTGCACCACCTTGCTGCCTCTGCCAAGTCCATTACTAAGAAATTATTTCAAAATTCCTAGCCAGGGAATGATAGGCACTTAAGGACTGAATTTTTTTTTGAATTTTTTTTTCCATGACAAAAAGACTTCTCTATGTTTTAGAACACAAGTGCCTTTAGCTAGTAAATGGTAACTTACTCTCCAAATTTTCAGGCTAGAAAATTTCTAAATTTTAAACCTGGCTCAGTGACACTTCCTTGCATCAGGAACATGTTTTCCCAAAACAGTGCCAACCAGCACTTTATTGAAAATTATTTTTAAAATGCCACACTCTTAACTAAGATTCAAATTGGAGGAAGGGAAAACTAAAGAAATCAATTTTTATTTTCCAGAATGTCAAGTCTACTATACAATTGTTTCAGACTTACCCCCAAAAGCAACACCAAATATATCAGTAGTGATAACTTTCTTTTCCCAATAAGAAAGCACACTGTAACTCTTAAGGGCTAAATAAAAGACCATACTATTAAGCCCCAGCACAACAACAAAAAAAAAAAACGGAATAACTTTGTTATAAACAGTGCTGAATTCTTTGTGAAGCACCTAAATTTGAAACTCTTTAATCTTAGTATTTTGCTCCAACTGAATCAAAACATTAAAAAAAGATTAAAAAAATAAAATGATTTTTTGTTTTTTTATATTTTTTTATAAAAGAACAAGAGTATAAAAGAGCATAAAAGTCAATTTTTTTGTTGAAGGGGGAAACTGGATTTGAAAAATTGTCCTGTTATTGTTAAAAATTATTTTTGATAACCAAAAACTATATAAGTAAAATGTTACACAAGTTGCATAGGCTGTACTTTTTCCCTTTATATCTGACAAACATAAAGTCTTAGAATACTTATAATCACTCTTAGTAACAGAGCCATAGTTTAAGTCTTTCTGGTCTCCCTGGAAGCACCAGAAGCTGTAGAATCTTTTCTTTTCTTTTCTTTTTAAAAAGAGCTTCTTTTTAAATTTTTTTTTGCTTGTTGCTAGGCAATTGAGGTTAAGTGACTTGCCCAGGGTCACACAACTAATACATGTTGTGTGTCGTGTGTCTGAGACTGGATTTGAACTCAGGCTGTCCTGACTTCAAGGCCAGGGCTCTATCCACTGCACTACCTAGTTGCCCCTAATTTTTTTTTAATGAATGAGTCTTACTATTTTGCCCTGGCTTGAAGTACACTAGCCACTTACAGGCTCATCCTCATTGCTCATCTGCATGGAAACTTTGACCTCCAATACCAACCTGGTATTTGCCTCTATTTAGGTAGCACAGTGGTCCCCCATTCCTAGAAGCTCATCATGTTAGTACAAAACAGTATAGGTACCCAATTGACTGTAGCCCTGCTGTAGCACAGAACTCCCACACTCAAGCAATTCACTGGCCTTAGCCTCCTCAATCCAATAAAAGAGATTACAAGTATGTGTCACCACGTCCAGGAGCAACAACTTCCCAACCACCTATATACCAGGGAGTCCATGAACTTGAATGGGGAAAATATATTTCAATATTTTTTGTTTCCTTTGAAGCCTTACATATTTTACTATATGCATCTAAATTATTCTGGCTTTACCAGACTGCCAAAGGGGTCCATAACACAAAAATAGTTAAAATCTCCCATAGTGAAATCTGCCGCTAGGATTGCCAAGTACAGAAAGTAGATTCCTCTTCACTTAGACAGCAACTGCCCACATCCCCTGCCCCCATCTCCTTAAAAAAACGGAGTTTTCACTGCAAAGTCCAGCAATTTTTCTCCCTCCCTAAACACCAAAAGTGGAATAGGGTTGCTCTCCTGAAGGATTTGCATTTTGTACCGTAGGACTTTGCTCTAGGCCTCAGTTTTTCATCTGTAAAATGAGGGTAGTGAACAAGATAATACCTAAAATTTACTTCCAGCTCTAAATGCTATAGTTTTAGGATTACAGTATTGCTCAAGTCATATCCTAGTTGTTGTTGCTTTTTCCTATATGCTCACAGGAACAAAATTATATTCAGGGCATCATTAAATCAGAAAGATAAAATGAAATTTCAATGTTAAAGATATTAGGAAAGCAAAAATAACTTGTTATTGTCCAGTAAGTGTAAGATTCAATTAGGAGTAAGTTTACCAAAAACATTAATATCACTATTTGTCTTTTTTGTTTTGTTGCATTTAATCATAATAATGCCCAAATATTAAAATATCAGCAATAAGAATCACTATTCTGATAAAAAATTCCAAGTCTAATTATTCTGCAATCTTTTAATGTAATGTTCACATAGACACAATTAGCTTTACCTGCAGTAGGATCTTTGGCCAATGAATTATCCAAGGCACTTGTTATAGACTGGAAAAGATTCATTTTCTGGGTTTGTCCTGTGAGATTAAAAATACCATTTTTAGACACTTTAAAATACACAAAAATAAAATATGTATTAGCTAATCACAAAATTATCTCACAGCAGAGAATAAGCTTTGAAAGATCTATGGAAAATCTCAAGATAGAGAATATTCAAAGCCTCAATTCAACTCAACCTTGTTGGAGAAATGAGACAAACATGAAACAATTAGATAACACTACACTTCAGTACAGAAGCATGTATGTGGCTCAGTGAAAGCATGTATGTGGCTCAGTGAGTAAAGGGCTGGACCTGGAGTTAGGAAGACCTGAGTTTAAATTTGGCCTCAGACACTCACTAGCTATGTGACCCTGGGAAAGTCACTCAACCTCTACTTGCCTTAATTTACTGGAAAAGGAAATGGCAAACCATTCCAGTATTTTTGTCAAAAAAAAAAAACATGGGGACACAAAGAGTCAGATGCAACTAAACAACTGAACAACAACGTGAGTATAAATAATTTGAACTTTTTTATTAAGTGGCATAGACAATGTGGGAAGTAAAGAAGAAAAGTTCAGGCATCTAGAAAGTCTTCATGGAAGCAAAAAATTCAAATTAGCCTTGAAAATATATATAAAGATATATGAAATATAATCAGTGAGAAATGATTTTTTAATTAGATGCTTACAGTAAAAGGAAAAATAAGAGTAGAGTGACAGAAATATGGATTTTGCCCCTGAAAAATGTTAGCGTGCTATATACCATGCAAACTACAATACACTAAATGAAATTGAGAACTGTAGGGACTAAAAAATATAGAGAAGCAACCTCGCAGAGTATAGAGAGTTCTTTACTGGGAGTCAGGAGACCTAGGTTCTAGCTCTGACTCAGCCACTAATCACTGTGTGACCTTGAGCATGCTATTTAACCTCTCTGTGCTTCAGTTTTCTCATGTGTCAAATAAGTCATCAAGAACAGATGATCCCCAAGGTGACTTTCAGCTCAAAAATTCTCTAGCATCTACATCTGTACTCTGCTCTTGTCTGGGCTCTCTCATATTGCTTGGTACTATTTGCTTTCTCCTGGCCTGGATACTCTATCTCTGACTGGCTTCCTGCCCAGTTAAAACTTCTGAGTATTGATTCTGACTGACCCCCCTCCCCCCAGTTTGTCTGGACAGCTGAGACTGCAACCCTGGCTTTGTAACCAGATCTCAAGGTAACTGTAAGGCCCCTTTCTGAAGTAACTGACCTACTTCCTCCTCTCCAGCCCCCAGATGGGATCTTTAGCCTATAAGCAGCTCTTAATTATTTTGCTTGACATCTTAGCATACCTCATTTTCCTAACTCCTCAAACAATTCCTTTATATTAAATTTACCACATATTTACTGAAGTCTCTCCCACTTTTATGGCACAGAGCTAGGCATGGGGGATACAAAGAAAACACCAAAGTCTCTGGGGTTAAATACATTCTACTGGAAGATACAACACAAACACAGAAAGTGCCTACAGAGAAATTTGAGGAGAGAGAACATTAGGAACTGAAGGGATTAAAGAAGACTTCATTAGTCAATAATCAAGTATTTATTGATTAAGTGGTGAAGTCCTCCCTGTTACTCTCAGTTATTAGTGTTCTCTCCCTCCACCAAGACTGAATTGAGCCTTGAAAGAAGCTAAGACTGCTATTTAGGAAGCAAAAGTAGACAGTATGTAAAGTACTACTTGTGCCATAGAATGGAAGTGAGAGATGGTCTGTCAAATTCAAGGGAATTTTACAAAATTCCAGTTTCACTGGAACATGGAGAAGCTATAGGAAATAATGCTCCAAAGGTAGACTGGGGCCAGATTATGCAAGGCCTTAAATGCCAGGCTAAGGAGTTTGTATTTCATCCTAGAGACAATGAAGAGCCACTGAAGATTTTTCAGCAGGTGTGTATTATGAACAGAATCCTAAAGAAGAATTATTTTTACTACCACATGGAGGATATATTAGAGAATGGAGATACTGGAAAGTAGGGAATTAATTCAGAGGCAATTATAATAGTCTGTCCTCCAAAGGTGGTGAGAATCCAAACATTTGAGTGATATGTGAATGCAAAGAACACAAGAGATATGAAAGCGAGACTTGGCAACTAATAAGCAGTGATGGGGACCAAAGAGTCAAAAATGACTCTAAAGTTGAGAACTTGGGTGATTCCAAATACAGTCAAAACGGTGGAGCAGCAAAAAAAGTACAGCCTAATCCTCCCACCAAATCTCCTCTGCAAAGATCTAGAAAATGCACCAGACTGAATTCTGATTGGGAAATCCAAGAAAAAGTCACAGTAGTCATTTTTCCAGCACAAGGTGGTTTAGGGATATGGACAGAGAGATCTAGGAGTCTATAGAACAATTCCAGTCCCCAAGGACTCCAAGAGAATCAAGACCAGATCACTGAACTGGTTCAGAGTACAGCAACAGTTGCCATTTGAAAGCTCTGCTATCTATTACCCAGTTCTGGGTCACAGATCCACGGCCAACAGAGAAGGAGACTTTACTTGTATCTAGGAGTGAGAGAGAGGGGCAGTTTCAGTCACCAAAGAACTGAGCAAGGAACTAGTTCAGAAGCAAAGAGTGTGGCTCTGATCCTAGGAGCAGAGCAGGGACTCAGTTCTAGCCTCCAGTCCAGATTGAAGCCTGCAGTTGAATAATCTGGAGTTATTCTAGGTGTAGCAGTCCCAGAGCATAGAAAAGCCTACAATTCAGTAGCTTTGAACCTGTAGAGTTTCTTAGCAGGCTAGCCAATGAATCCAATTACATTGTACTGAAACTTCCAACCAGGGACAAGCCAACACACCCAAAACTGGGTCAGGAACTTGCAGAACTCAGACCAGGAGAGCAGTGAGTAGTCTTTGCCCTGAATCACATCACTCTGCGAGCACTGAAAGCTTGCAGGCCCCAGCCTGAGCTATCAAAGTGGCAGAAGGGTATAAAAGAACAGAAGCTCATGTCAGACAATCCCTGAAGAAGTACACAGAGCCTAGCCCTAACATAAAGTCCAAAGCCCAAACATAAGCATGCTGGAAGAATGAACAAACAAAAAAAGTATTCCATCATAAAGAGCTATTATGATGACAGGGAAGCTCAAAACCCAAACCAAAAAAAGGGGGGGAGGGATTCAAAAACATCTCAAGCAAAGCCGCAGAGAAAAATGCAGCCTACAAACAAGTCCAACCAGAATTCCTAGAATAAAGGGAAGAATTAATAAAATGAGAATCTAGGTGACTCTGATGATGGTGGCACCAAGTTATTTTAACCACTAATAACCTCATGAAAATTAATGTCCTATGGGACAAATATCTGGAATGTCTATGAAGTTTCTGAAACAATGTACATAATCCTATTATTTAAATTGTTCACTACAACTACCTACATGTTTGAAATGTATCAGAGAAGCCGAGTCAACCGGCTCTGCCAGCTTCCCAAATACAAATGGGCTTCTCCTAGTTGCCAATGTACGCCACCATTTATTCTACCACTAGAAATCTTGGGACCCTGGTCGTTCCAAGACTGTTGTTTTGACATGTTCCTCTTGTGCATTTTTTGCTCTACTTTGAAAAAATCATTCTGTCAAACCTCCAATAGTATGAGAGGCAACATGTAATAGTAGATAGAATGCTGGCCTGTAGTCATGAAGACCTGGGTTCAAATCACACTACACTAACAGCGTGACCATGAACAAGTCATTTAATTTCTCTGAGCCCATTTCTATCTCTATAAAATTACGAAGCTGGAACAAATGGCCTCAAAAGCTTCTTCCAACTATAAATGTAGACTTCTAAGAAACAGAGGTAGAAAGCCACTAAGTTGTGATGAGACAAGGACATTTCAAAGCTCTTGAATACAGAGGCAGTGCATTTGTGAGTGATGGCAAGATCAGGGGCATGAACATCTTTGTGTGTAGCTGAGGTAGGGTGGATGAGTAGGTTATGGGAAATGAGTAGGTCGGAGAACCGAGAGGTTAGCTTGTTTGAGGGACTTTGATGAAGTCCCCTGTTCTGAGCTCAAGAGTTGAAGAGCAAAGAAAGATTTTGAGTCAGGTACTGAACTCACTGAGGAAAGGAGAGTGTGCTGGAGGTCTGAAGACAACAGCTACTAGGAATTTGATAGGGTGGTAGATGTAGATTGTATGAACCTCAAAGGAGGAGAGGTTACCAAGTAATGGTGGTAGGGGAAGAACCTGCAAGTGTCAGTGGAGTACAACTCCCCATCCTCAACCAGGAAGCTGAGGGAAATTAGTGAAAGTACAGTGAGTGCTGGAAAATGTAGCCAAGGAGGCTGTGTTATCAGGAGGAAGCCAGGACTCTGAGAGCCAGAATGTATTAGGAATGGTACAGGAAAAGATTTAAGAAAACAAGTTTGTTGCCTATGAAGCAGACATTCCAGAAGGCACAGTAGAAGGGTGGGTAGTTAGGACTTGCAAGGTGGGGGGGCAGGGTGGAGAGAAGGGAAAGGAGGATGGGAATGAGGAATCAGTTGAAGGATAGGGAATGGGGTTTGGATGATGATATACAGGGGTTCAGAATCACTAGAATGTGGAATGTATGACCAGGTGAGAGTCTGTTAATCATTAAGTGAAAAATTTAGAGAGATTTTCAAGGTTAATAGTACCATAGTACCTAAGAGTAGAATCTTTTAAGAGCTTTGGGCAAGTCAGTTGAGGGGGCAAGAGTTTAGAGCAGAAGGAGTGGTGATAATTCTCCTTCCCCCAGCAGGAGAAAGGCAGTAAACTTGATGGAGTGGCATCCTTTCACCACACATAAAACTGGTGAGATGGAATAGTGCTTGTCCTCTTCCCAAGACCAGGCAGGAGATACAATGGTAAGGCACCCACCTCTCCACTTTACACTCCCAGGAGAAGCTGGAGATCAAGTAAGAGTCACAAGATCAGTCAGGAGACACAGGGCAAGATAGAAAGTGCCCACTTCTCCTCTTCCTACCAGTGGCTAGAGATCAGGCACAGAAACATTTGAGATAGTACTCCTTTTCCTCCATAAG